TTGTCTCGGATTCTCCAGCATCTGCAGTTCCTACTATCTCTATGCACAGGCATTGGATTTGCCCCCACTTCATTACTCAGGCTCTTTACACAGTTGCGGTCACGCTACAACAGACTCAATTGATTCTGCCTTTGGAGCAGTAAGGACTGCAGATGCTGGAAACTAGACTCAAATAATGTGGAGCTGGAAAAGCACAGCAAGTTAGACAGCGTCCGAGGAGCAGGGAAGTCAACGTTTTGGGCCAAAACCCTTCGTCAGGACTTTGAAGGCCTGAAAGTTATTTGGAGTCCATGGGGGAAATGAGCTGGCTGAGTAGACAGGCACAGAGGAAGGAGACGTGGCTGTAGTACCCAGATTGCTATAGAATGTGGTTGAAGAACTTTGGGGCAGAGGAGAAAATCGATGGGTTGCAGTGGGAGAGAAACTTGCTGAGCTCTCTTCAGAGAGAGGAGGAAAACTTCTTCAACGTGGGCATGCTTAGAGACTTCGCAGTGTTGGTTTTCAGTGACTTGGAAACAATTAAGGACTGCAGATACTGAAAGCATCCTGCCAAAGGGTTTCAACTTGAAACATTGACTTCCCTAATCCTTAGATGCTGTCTGACCTGCTGTGCTTTTCCAGCTCCACATTTACCAATTCTGCCCTTCCCTTAAAGGATCATTGCCGAACACATTTCACTGCTTAAAACAAAACAGAAATGGCTGGAAAAACTCAGCAGGTCTGGCAGCTGCTCTTGTTTCTGTTTTCCAGCATCCTGCAGTTTTTTCGGTTTTCCATTTCACTGCTTCCCACCCACAGATAAATCTCATAGAGCCTACCAGCTAAGCAACTAAATTAATTAAGATGTGAAATGATAAGATTTAAGAATGGTCCAACACCATACCTCACCTGCACAATTAATAAGCTCTAATCAGTCTTAAGTTTTGAATGTTTATCACGTAATTACAGGTAATAGGGCATCTTGCTTTGCACTGGTATTATGCCTGCCTGGAGGCCTGGGTTCAAGTCCAACCTTCTCCAGATGTGTGTCATTACATGCTTGAACAGATTGATTACCAATAAGAAGAACATAACAGGTGAAGTGTTATATAGGGCAGCACAGTGGTTAGCACTGCTGTCTCACAGCACCAGGGACCTGGGTTTGATTCCACCCTTGGGTGACTGGCTGTGTGGAGTTTGCATGTTCTCCCCATGTCTGCGTGGGTTTCCTCCAGGTGCTCTGATTTCCTCCCATTGTCCAAAGATATGCAGGCTAGGTGGATTGGCCATGCTAAATTGCCTGTAGTGTTCAGGGGTGTGTAGATTAAGTGGATGGGTCTGGGTGGGATGCTCCAAGGGTTGGTGTGGACTTATTGGTCTGAAGGGCCTGTTTCCACACTGTAGGGATTCTATGATTGTTCTTTTGCTGTGTTCTATTAGATTTGGAAAAAAATATTGGCTTCTTCCTCCTGGGATATGGACATTGTTTGCAGAGGTGGCATTTGCGTTGCATCCCTAATTGCCCATGAATTGAGTGGTTTGCTGGTCCATTTCAGAGGCCAGTGAAGAGTCACCCACGCTGCTGTGTGTCTGGAGTCACATATGGGTCAGGCCAGGTAAAGGTGGCAAATTTTCTTCTTTGAAGAACTTATAGAGTCATAGAGTTGTACAGCACGGGAAACAGACCCTTCGGTTCAACTCGTCCATGCCGATCAGATATCCTAAATTAATCTTGTGCCTTTCGCCAGATTTTGGCCCTTATCCCTCTAAACCCGTCCTATGCAATGTACCCATCCAGATGCCTTTTAAATGTTGTAATCGTATCTGAGTGAACAGGTGGGATTTTACAACAATTGACAGACACGGTCACATATTACTGAGTCTGGCTTCCAATTCCAGATTTATTATTTGCATTTGCCTGGGCCTCAGGATGACTAGTCCAGTGACATTACCATGATGCCATATCTCCTTTTGAGATAAAACTTACCTCAATTCAGTCCTTACGTGTGACTGAAGTTGATTTTTAAATAAAGAAAATGTTATGTACCTGCATGAGGGGAATTAACAGTGAAAATCTGTGCTCCTGGAAGGATCCATTACCCAGCCAGTTTTTCCAATAAGGAGGTGAACCAGAGAGAAGAGAGAAATCTTTGGCTTCATCCCCAATCTGCACTTACAACCGACCTCAGGATCACTCAATTTGGGAAGGTCAATATCAACCAGGTTTCTCACTCCTGATCACATTACAAGATGGCGATGGTGGGGTCGGCAGCATTTGACTCCTGAGTGCCAGGCTTGGTCGCTCATGGCTCATGAAGTGGGTTCTGCCATATCCACACGGCTTCATCATTGTCGTTTCAACTTGGTAATGTTTTTTTGTTTTGGTTAGCCTAGGGCTGCCTCCTGATGTCCTCCCAGGACCTCCATCCCTGCTCCATCTCAAGTGGCAGCAACGGAATATGACCCAGGACCCTGTCAGTCAATGTCCAGTGTCGGGGGAGGCTGCAGGACCTGTGCAGTGTGACCATCTCCAGATCGGAGGCAGTGGACGTGGAAGCAATGGCGGCAGCAAAGGAGCACATCACTAGGACCCTGGGGGACAATGTCGGATGGCAGCGACTGGAAGAGCAGAGAGGGTGAAGTCTACAGAGAGGGAAAGGTGAACTTTTGAAGCTGTTTCAGTTTTAGTAATATCAACTTAATATTAATTTATTCAGTTTTTTATTACCATTTACACAACTTATTCAGCCATTTATTCTGTAATCCAAGATGGTGCTGGAATGGGCAACATTATCCACTTTGCACTGTACATAGATACTAATGATAATATGTGGAATAAATAACATTCCATTGTGCCCTCAGCTGGAAGTGTGCTCCTGCAGACTTCTAAGAACACAAAGAATGCATTTGGCTGTGACAATCAAATGACCTGCCAATATTCAATGTCATGGCAACACACATATGGTGGTTCAATGAAGCACCTTTCCTTTAATCAGTTAAAGTATAGATGAAGGAAATGGAAAAGGAAAGGTCATGCTATCAGTGATCATGCTATCAAATATCAGTGAGAAATACTTAAACATATGGCACTTGGTGCCTTGATTTTCGTTTTTGCCACTATAATTACATGTTTGCACAGCTTCTCCTGGCTTATAATTACATCTACCCCACCCTGTCTCTTAACAATTATTAAAATGTCTAGAATTATTTCTGAGGTTTGAATGGATCCCTTTTAAGTCTCTTTCATTGTCTTTCATTCACCCCCAAATTTCCCACTCGATTTCTCACTCAGCTGCTTCCCCCAACCCTTGAAGCTGGTGACATACTGTTCTCTAAGCAGAGTGCTCCTCCTAACTTTGCTCGATCTTAATTAACCATATTATTTTTAAAAAGCACTGCAGATGCTTGAAATCTGAAATAAAAACTAAAAGTATGGGAGAAACATAACAGGTCTGGCAGTATCTGTGAAGAGAGAACATATTAAGTTTTGAGTCCAATATGACTCTTAACAAGGTTCCAAGGCAGAGTTAATTCTGTTTCTTTCTCCAGATGCTGCTAACCTGCTGGGTTTCTCCAGCATTCTGTTTCTAATCAACCCAACCTTGTTTCTTTCACTGGGTAAATACACACAGATAGGATTAACTCCTTTGATGCAGTCCAGGCTAACCATTAAATAGCCGAGCACTAGATCTTGCAGTTCTGAGGAAGGGTCACTCAACCTGAAACTTTAATTCTGATCTCTCTTCACAGCCCCTGCCAAACATGCTGAGCTTTTCCAGCAATTTCTGTTTTTTGTTTCTGATTTACAGCATCCGTAGTTCTTTCAGTTTTTACAAGATCTTGCAATCTGCCTGGGGAAATTGCCACAAGAAAACTGACTGATTAAAGGCTATTCCATGATCCAACACTTCAGTAGTAATCAGATAAAGCTCCAATAGTCAAGTCAAGCAACAGAAGTAACTTCGCACCACACAAATGCCAGGCAATGAACATCTCCAATAAGAGACAATCTAACCAGTGCCCCTTGACATTTAATGGTGTTACTGTCACTGAATTCCCCCACTATCAATATCCTTGGGGTTGCCATTGCCTAACCAAGCTATATCAGCCTTTAGGCTCCACCCAAACCTTCTACCCTCTATCCCCAGACTGTCACAAGCCTCTTTCCCCTTCTCCCTTGCACACTTGTCTAGCTTGTCCTTAAATGCAGCTATACAGTTTGATTCAACCACACTCTGTGGTAGTGAATTCCACATTCTCACCACTCTCTAGGAGGAGAGGTTTCTCCCAAATTCCCTGTTGGGTTTGTTGGGGGTTATTTTATATTGATGGCCTCCAGTTATATTTTTCTCCACTTGCAATTTTATAGCATCTTTTGCAAACCAAAAATGTCCTAAATCACTGTACATCCAATGAAGTGCCTATTGAAGTCCAGTTACTGTCATAATGTAGGAAGCACAGCAGCCAACTTCACACGGTGGGATCCCACAAACAGTGATAAGATAAATGGTCAAGTAATCTGCACACTAAGCTTCAAATATATTCCCATTTTCCCACTCACACCTTCAATGCAGCGAGTTCTTTGTTCAAATGAGTCTTATCCAGCACAATGGCA